TGTGAAAAAATAGCATATAAAATACATATTTGTGTAGCTATCTTATTGAAGAGAATTTGGCAAAAATATCTTCAACATTTCCTTGTAAATCTATAAAACTCATTAGATGATTACAGCTATCTTAAAATAACATTGGGTGATTATAGATACATTGTACATGTCTTAAAAAAATCAATTCATGCCCTGGCCAGTTTGGCTCAGCGGTTGGAGCATCGGCCTGCAGACCAGAGAGTCCTGGGTTTGGTTCCCTCTAGGGGCACGTACCCCCCAAAAAAAATCAATTCTACACTGTTTAAACTTGTGAAAAAGATGCTGGAATTTATTAAAAAGAAAAAATTAAAACCAGTCTTCCTGACTATAGCTCTCTTTAACTGTGTAAACAACAAAATAAGTATGTGGTATTTACTTGCATGTGCACAGAACATAGTCTAGCAAAGAGGTAACAGCCTTAAAAAAAAAATGATACTCATAGAGACAAAATTAAGTGATAAAAACTTCAATATCTGTCTCTTTCCACCAACTCCACCCTTATTCACAGATTCAGATAGTAATGAGCAGAAAAACAGCTAGAAGCTGGGGAGAATGAAGATCAACATTAGAAACAGATAATCCACAGATGATTATCCAAAACCAAATAGTCATACTTATTATATAAAATTACTGCAATATGTAAAATAATTCAGCCCCTGATCAGAAGTTGTTCAATTTCCCTCAAATATTTCAGAAACTCAATTCAGAATACAGTATGGTTAAATATACACATATAAACTGATAAAAGAAAAATAAGTAAACTGAAATTTGATCTTTAATGTTATAAGGTAGCAAAAGTACCAAAGTAATAGAGCTGCGTAAGTCAAAATGATTTGCCAATACAATGTACTGTAATTGTATTTTGAGGGCACTAGAAAATTATCAAGCCAGGTACACCTCCAGTTAATTTCAGGGTCATTCCCCGCAACTGAAGAGGAAAGGGCATGAATAAAATTACAATACATGTCCTGGCCAGTTTGGCTCAGTGGCTGAATCATCAACCCGCGAACCAATGAGTCTCAGGTTCGATTCCAGTCAAGGGCACGTACTTTGCAGTTTGTCCCCAGCCCTGGTTGAGGTCATATGGGAGGCAGCCAGTTGATAATGTCTCTCACACATCAATGTTTTTCCTCTCTCTCTCTCCCTTTCTCCCTCTCTCTCCATCCCTCCCACTGTATCTGAAGATAAATAGAAAAATACCCTCAAGTGAGGATTGGAAAATAAATAAATAAAATAAAATTATAATACAAATCTACATATAATCTTCACTGCCCAAATTTATAAAGATTATGCATTTTTAAAAGCCCAGCTTGAAATTTAAGACATATCACTTGATTCCAAATATACTTGTCAAAAACATTACTGATACCTATTGAAAAATGAAAAAAAAAAATTCTCCAAGCATTTCAGGTGAAGAGCTGGTTAAAGAGCATCAATATCTGCTCAATGATCATATAAATTCATCTGGCTTAACTTTTTCAGTGCAATTTCCAACTAGAGACTAACTCTAAACAAGAAAAACTCAAATTTCACTTTCTAGAGTTTGTAACAGAATAATAAGCATGAAAACAATGCTTATAAATTAAATCAGAGACTAAGAGTTATAAAATTTCAGAATAGGGCCTGCTAGCAAGATCATCTAGTACAGTGTTTCTCAAACCTTTTGACTGTAAGCCACTTAGAATATACAAAATACTTGTCTTACTGGTTCTCATTTCTGCAGTATAAAGTCAGCAGTAACAAAATAATAAAAAGGTACACACAAAAATGTAAGCTCATGAATATGTATTTAATTAAAGGACATGACAATGTAATAATATATGTTATGTGTTTTATATATATTAACTCATTTATTCCTCACAACTGCGCTATGAAGTGTATTTTATTATTACCTCCACTTCATACACACACTGATTAAGTTCAACAGTTTTTATTTTTTATTTTTTTATTTTTTATTTTTTTTATCCTCACCCAAGGACATTTTTCCATTTTTTGTTCAGATAGAGCAGGAGGGAGAGAGAGGAAGAGAGAGAGAGAGAGAAACATCAATGTGAAGGGACACATCAAGTGGCTGCCACCCGCACGACCAACCAGGGCCGGGGACAAACTGCAACCGAGGTACGTGCCCTTAGCGGGAACCGAACCCGGGTCTCTCTGTACCACAGGCCGACGCTCCAACCGCTGAGCCAAACTGGCCAGGGCAAGTTCAACAGTTTTATCTAATAAAGAAACTATGGTCTGATGGTGATGACAATGATGATGACTAACACTTTTATAGGATTTACTGAGTGCCAATCACTGTTCTAAGCATCTAACTTATGTTATTTACTCATAAACCTTACTAATTCATTCACTCATAAAATAATGAGGTAGGTAGTAGCATTATAATCCATTTTAGAGATGAGAAATCTGAGGCATGGAGGAGTTACTTAATCTGCACAATACCATAAGTGGCAGAGGTAAAAATCATTCTTAGGTAATTTGGTTCCAGAAACTGGCTATGCTTTAAGTTATATAACTAACGTACAGTCACATAACTGCTAATAAGTAGAAAAGCTAACTATAGATTTCCAATTTTTGCTTTTGACTTAACTCTAAAATCCTTCTTCATTAGGAATCTCTCCAGAAAAGCTGACAAATTATACCACATCTAAAAATCCTAGGTGGTATTTACAAGGTTCTCAAGCACATGAACAGAGAATCTTTTCAATTGTTGGTCTGAATATCACAAAATATAATATAAAACTATTTTCTGTAAGATATGAGTCATCTTAAAATATAAATGTGTTATTCCTTCAAAATCAAAAGTCTGCCTTTATAAACCCTAGTTTTTGTCCAAAAATATATAAATCTTAGATTCTAAAATTGTATGTATACTTACTGCGCACACACACGATTCCTTTCAATAAAATCCAATTCATCTTTAGAGATCTACCTTTTAATATTTTGAGCTTCTATTACGTTTTAACAAACTTTCCCCTGGGGAGGGGGTATTTTATTAGCTTTGTTCCCCAGATAAGGTTCTTAGTAACAAATCCACAAATCTCCAAAGTCTCTTATCATAGTCTCTTTAGAAAGGAACATAGATGGAAACAGACAAGCTCAAAATGAGTGCCATTGTACAAAAGAGCAAGCTTGTACTCTTCCAAAATGTCAATATTATGGAGGACAAAGAAAAACTCATAAACTATTCCAGGTTAAAGGAATCAAAGAGATGTGAAAACTATGCAGTGTTTGATTCTGGATCAGACAACTGATAAAATTTTAATATAGACTGTATACTGAATGTAATAATAAAAATGTTAAGTTTCCTGAATGTGGTTATTATACTATGGTTAAGTAGGAGACACATAATGAATATTTAGGAGTGAAAGATCATAAATGTCTACAACTTACTCTCAGATGATTTTTCCATCATTATCATCATAATGGTGGTGGAGGAGCAGAAGTAGTAATAAATAAGAGAGATAAAGCATATGTAGCACTGTTTAAAGTTGGTGCAACTGGGCAATGGCATAGAGGTGTTTAGTCTACTGATCTTGTAATGGTTTGGCAGTTTAAAATTGTGTGGGGTTTTTTGGCACCCTCCCTGTAGGGAGCACACCTTGCCATTCTGTTCCCCCTCTCCTTCCCCCACAGGCAGGTATCTCCTAAACTCCAAGGGAACCCCAGGAGACTTGCGACTGGGGTGGGGGTTGGGGGGCAATGGGCAGCAGCAGTTCATCCTAGACTAACCCCCTGAACCTGTCTCCAAGGCCCCCTTTTCTCTGACTTCCCAGTGAGCCAAAGCAGCCCAGCCTAGGCTCTCCTGCTGCTTCTTCTATGCTCTTCCTTATTTCACTGTCCTGTGTTTTTGCTGCAGTCAATAAATTCTTGCTTGCTTTTCTACCAAAAAAAAAAAGTTTATTTTTGTTTGTTTGTTTTTACAAGTCAGAGGTCAGTTAGCTCGGTTGGTTAGAAAATGGTTCTGGTTTGATTCCTATACAGGTCACAGGTTTATTTTTAGAGAAACTAGATTCTTTTTTTGTTAATCCTCACCTGAGGATATTTTTTCATTTGATTTTTAGAGAGTGGAAGGGAGGGAGAAGGGGAGAAGAGAGAGAGAGAGAAAGAGAGAGAGAAAGAAACAGTGATGTAAGAGAGAGATATCAATTGGTTGCTTCCCGCACAACCCATACCAGGGCCGAGGATCTAAACTGCAACCCAGGCACGCGCCCTTGACCAGGAATAGAACCTGCGACCCTTCGGTCCATGGGCCAACGCTCTAACTGCTGAACTATTTTTAATAAATGTTAAGGGGAAAGAGAGAAGATAAAAATTTTCATTGTGATGTGAAGCAAATAAGACTCTCACAGTCACTCACTAAACAGTGAGTTAAAAAAAAAAAAGATACCTAAGCTAAAGTTCAACCACTAGATTACTCTACTTTTTCTTCCTTTGTCTTTCATAAAGTCAAGATACTAATATTCCCTTACTGAAGTCCATATTAATTTCTTTTTTTTTTTTTTTAATCCTCATCCGAGGACATTTTTCCATTTTTTGTACAGACAGAGTGGGAGGGAGAGAGAGGAAGAGAGAGAGAGAGAGAGAAACATCGATGTGAAAGGGACACATCGAGTGGCTGCCACCCGCACGACCAACCAGGGCCGGGGACAAACTGCAACCGAGGTACATGCCCTTAGCGGGAACCGAACCCGGGTCTCTCCGGACCACAGGTGGACGCTCTAACCGCTGAGCCAAACCGGCCAGGGCAAGTCCATATTAATTTCAACGTGCATTAAAGCAGTTTATAAAATGCAATCTAAAGCTTTTTGAGCATCTCCAATTAGAAATGTCAGCACATGTTTTATGATAACCATGAAGCTTTTCAGATCATTTATTTCCATAAAAATAAGAGTCAACAGGTAGTCATTTCCTCTCCATACTTTTGTAAAGAGAAAGCTCTTCAAAACCAGAGCCACAATTCTTACCTGGGAGACTTCTTTTTTCATAATGAGTCCTAAAAATAGATAGGGTCAAGTCCGTGCTCTGGGGGATAGCTTCCAGAGGAATGGGGTAAAGATGTTCTCCAGAGATGGCTCTAGACTCTTCACTCTCGCCTCATTTAAGCATAATTATGCAAATAACTAAAACAAAGAAAAAGAAAAAATATGTAAGAGCAGAGGGAGTTTAGATTGTCATTTTACTATCTAAGAAATGATAAAGGTCAGAATGCTAGGAAAAGAAAATACAATTTCTAAGATCAAATGGAAAAATATTTCCAAAGACAGCAGATAAAAATCTGATTCTACAGTTGAAGTCCTTTCTGGTGATTAAACACGTATTCCTATTTAAGATTGTTACTTATGTAATACCTAATTACATTCTACCCTTAATCTTCTGAAAGACCTATTCATGTATTTTAAATTTTTTCTGCCTGCATTTATATGTTTATCCTTCTACTTATAAATTGATTTTCTTCACGTTTTCAGTTTGCATTTAATTATTTCCTTGATTTCTGTAACACTCCTCACTATGTATTATTTTTTTACTGAAAATGTTTACTAACATTTTATATTCATAATACTTAAAAATGCAATTCGTTGAGCTCTGGTTCCAGTAATGATAGACTATCTTGTATTGAACTAACTTACCCACAGATAACAATTATTAACCCTGGACAAAACAGAAAAAATAACTGTTCAAAAGAAAAAAAACATTTCATGACACAAGAAGACTATAGGAAATTCAATTTTAATGTCCATAAACAAAATTGTGCTGGAATATAGTCATGCTCATGTGTTTATTTAATATCTACGGATGCTTTTGCACTGTATTGCTTGAGTTGAGTTTGCCAACCCCTGCTTTATACACACTCCTCCTCCTTCTCCTTTTCTCACTGTGAGTTCATGCATCCACCCCATGTTCCAGCTCAAAATTCACTTATAAAAAATGTCACTTTTGTCCAGCCAGTGTGGCTTAGTGGATTGAGCGCTGTCCCATGGACTGAGAGTTCCCAGTTCGATTCCCAGTCGGGGCACATGCTTGGGGTTGCAGGCTCGATCCCCAGTGGGGGGTGTGCAGGAGGCAGCCAATCGATGTTCTCTCTTCCATTGATGTTTCTGTCTCTCTTTCCCTTCCTCTCTCTCTGGAAAAATCAATAAAAACATATTTTTTATTTTTATTTTTTTATTCTCACCCGAGGACATTTTCCTATTTTTTGTTCAGCTAGAGTTGGGGGGGGGGAGAGCGAGAGAAACATCAATGTAAGAGAGACACACCAAATGGCTGCCACCCACACAACCCAACCAGGGCTGGGGACAAACTGCAACAGAGGTACATGTCCTTAGCGGGAACCGAACCCGGGTCTCTCTGGACCGCAGGCTGATGCTCTAACCGCTGAGCCAAACTGGCCAGGGCAAAACATATTTTTTTTAAAAAGTCACTTTTACCTCCTTGAAAAATAATTTATAGCCCTGGCCGGTTTGGCTGAGCGGTTAGAGCGCCAGCCTGCGGTCCTGAGAAACCCGGGTTCGGTTCCCGCTAAGGGCATGTACCTTGGTTGCAGTTTGTCCCCGGCTCTGGTCAGTCGTGCGGGTGGCAGCCACTCGATGTATCCCTTCACATCGATGTTTCTCTCTCTCTCTCTCTGTTCCTCTCTCTCCCTCCCACTCTACCTGAACAAAAAATGGAAAAATGTCCTCGGGTGAGAATAAAAAAAAAAAAAAAGAAAAATAATTTATACAAAAGCGTCTAAAGTATACTTTTTTTAAATTTATTTTTGTTACAGATGTTTCTCCTTTTCCCCCCACTGATTCCCACCCTCCCTCCCCACTCTCTCCCCAGCTTTGTTGTCCATGTCCATTGGTCATTCATACATGCATATAAGTTCTGTGGTTAATCTCTCCCCCCTTCCCCCTCTTCTGGGGATTGTCAGTTTGTACCCCACTTCCACGTCTCTGGGACTACCCCATTCCTCAGACTGTTACGTTCGTTATATTCCACAAATAAGTGAGATCATATGATACTGTCTTTCTCTGTTTGGCTTGTTTCACTTAGGATGACACTTTCCAGGTCCCTCCATGTCATCTCAAAGGGTAACAGATCTTTCTTTCTTACAGCTGCATAGTACTCCACTGTGTATATGTACCACAGCTTTCTTATCCATTCGTCTACTGATGGACATTTGGGCTGTTTCTAGATCTTAGCTATTGTAAATAATACTGCTACAAACATGGGGGTACATATATTCTTTCTGATTGGTGTTTCAGGCTTCTTAGGGTATATTCCTAGAAGTGGGATCACTGAGTTAAATGGAAGTTCAATTTCTAATTTTTTGAGGTAACACCATATTGTTTTCCATAGTGGTTGCACCAGTCTGCATTCCCAATAGCAGTGTACTAGAGTCTCATTTCTCCACACCCTTGCCAACACTTGTTGTTTGATGTAAAGTATACTTTTTATGTGTATATTGGCTTCCTCATTTAGCAGTAGTATGAACCTACTATCCATCAACAAACCCCTACTAAATGGGCTAAGGCTAAGGAAACTGCTTCTGCTTCCTTTACTCTGAAGTAAGGACCAATAGGGGAGGAGTAAGAGAGGGGCATGAATCCACTGGGAATTAAATATGTACATATTTGTAACTCTTTTTTATTAAGGAAAAATAAAGAAATTTATTTTCTTAAAATAAAGGTTTATTTACTTGGATTATAAAATAACCATCTGCTTTATGAATCAAGAGTTGGAAATGAAAATTTACTTAGTAACAATATTTTTTCTAAAATAGTAATGTATTATGGCTCCTTCTTTCTCCTAAATCAACAGTTCTCAATTTTTTATTTTATTTTTTTTGGTTTAAGGATCCCTTTAACACTTTTAAGAATCATTGAGGACCCCCAAAGAGGTTTAATTTAGAAGTTATCAATATTTATTATATTATAAATTAAAACAAAAACTCTTAGACTATTTAATAGCCCTTTAATAACCCATTTTTTCCTTTATCGCAACTAGGTAACACTCAAGACAAGAAACTCAAGAGCTGGGCATCACCACCTTGATTTGTGGTAAGTCACCAGCTTTCCTTTCATTACTTTTGTACTCTCAGTACAAATGTTTACACATTAGAAAAGGCAAATAACATCTTTTTTTATTAAATTTATTGGAACAGTCCGGCCGGTGTAGCTCAGTGGTTTAGTATCAACCTATGCACAAAGAGGTCGCCAGTTCGATTCCCAGTCAGGACATATGCCCAGGTTGTGGGCCTGATCCCCAGTGGGGGGCATGCAGAAGGCAGCCAATCGATGTTCTCTCTCATCGATGTTTCTTTCTCTCTCTCCCTCTCACTTCCTCTCTCGCTGAAATCAATAAAGGAAAAAAAAATTACTGGGACATCTTAGTATTATTAATGAAACAATTCTGATATAGTGGACCCCAAGGAAAGGTCTTGGGGACCCTGTTATGGATTGAATTGTGTCCCCACAAATCTGTATGTTGATGTCCTAACTTCCAATTGACTTTATTTGAAGATAGAGCCTTTAAGGATAAAATTAAAGCTAAATGAGATCATAAGAGCGTATGGAGCCTTAATCCGACAAGATTAGTGTCCTTATGAGATAAGAAACACCAGGGGTATGGTATGCTTTCACAGAGAAATGTCCATGTGAAGACAAAGCAAAAACGTGGTCTTTTGCAAGCTAGCAAGAAGGGTTTCACAAGAAACCAACTCTGCCAGCACCTTAATATTGACTTCCAGTGCCCAGAACACTGAGAAAATAAATTTCTATTGTTTAAGCTATCAAGTCTATGGTATTCTGTTATAGTAACTCAAGCAGACTAATACAGACCCCTGGGAGTCCACATACCATATTTTGAGAAATTTTGATAATCTCTTTCTTTGTCTTAATGAAGAGAGCAAAGATCTTTTCAAAGAGAAAGACAGAGATTCAAGCCTAGAAAAGGAAAACAAGGTGACATCCAGGAACACTGAAGAACAAAAATTCACCCTGGCCGGTTTGGCTCAGAGGTTAGAACCTCAGCCAGAGGACCAAAGCATCATGGGTTTGATTCCCGGTCAAGGGCATGTACCTGGGTTAGAGGTTCGATCACTGGCCCCCATCGGGTCATGTGGAAGGCAACCAGTCAATCTGTCTCTCTCACATCAATGTTTCTCTTTCTCTTTCTCTCTCTCTCTCTCTCTCTCCTTCTCTTCTCCCTTCCACTCTGTCTAAAAACCAATGGAAAAATATCCTCAAGTGAGGATTAAGCAAGAAAAAAAAAGTACAAAATTACCTGACAAAAAATGGAAAAAGAAAGAAAGTTTAATAGATAATCCAGATAAACTGGGCTCTCTCACCAACCTACACCTAGATTTTGCAAATCCTACATTACTTAGTCTCTGCTGTGAAGTTTAAGCCTCCCAGACCCTTACTATATCACTTTTCTGAATTGTCATCTCTAACTCTTTTCAAACTTTAAGCTTTTTTCCCCCCTAAATATTTATTCTTTATTAATTTGAGAGAGAGAGAAAGCGAAAGGGAGAGATAGAAACATCGATGAGAGAGAACATCGATTGGCCACCTCCTACATGCCTCCATAACCTGGGCATCTGCCCTGACTGGGAATTGAACCGGCAACCTCTTGGTGCATGGTTGATGCTCAACCATTGAGCCACACTGGCCGGGCAACCCTTTGAGCTCTTATCACTTGTGTGAATTTATAGAATTTGACTCAAAAAATTTGAGGTTAACTTTCTGCCAATTTTAAAGTCAATATTCTCTTTGAGCTTTCAGATGCATTCAAGAAACTGTACTCTACCAGTTGTCCTCAGCTACTTCCCAATGTTATTCCAATGTCTAGTACATGCAGTCATATCTACAGCTCAGTCTTTAGCCCTCTTTTTTTCAGTGCTCAAGTACATACACATATGAACATATATATACACACATAGATGTTCATGCACACATGAATACACGCACACACAAGCACATTCTCTCCTTGGAGTAGTACCAGTGTTCTTTTACATTCAATTTAATTTAAAAATCTATTGAGTATCTTATATATGATTCCTCAATAAATCCGATCTACAAGGAAAGACATGGGCATAAAGCTGGTTATACATTTAAACCAGAAACCATAAAGTGATCAT